CAAAGGAAACAAAGTCGGTGAGCCTTTCTGCGGTAGCAATTGCCCCGATCACATCGGTGACATTCCTTCGATGCAATTTTTGTTGAGCCCATGACTTCAAACCATCGAGGAAGCTGAATAGCTTATCCTTTTCGGACATGTCTTGTATGTCCAGCATTAGTGCAGAAAATTGCTTCACGTAGTTTCGAATGAAAGTACTTTGGCAGAGTTATCTTAGTTTCCTCCTTGCGACGAACTCGGTGTTCTCAGGTAGAAACTGAGTTCTCAACTCTCGCTTTAAGTCCTCCCATGTGTCCACCCGACACCGACCTTGTTGGATCTCCTCCCAACGGGTTCGCCACCAAAGTTTTGCATCCCCATTTCAAATACATGGTTGCTCTCAAAACTTTGGTTTTTTCAGAATCAGGCCTCGTAGCTCGAAAGTATTGTTCCATGTCGAACAAGGAATTCTCGAGCTCTTTAGCATCTCTGGCACCCCCATAACAATGCGGCTCAGGTGCCCTAAAGTTTTGTGGCGGCGCAACGCGGGTGTTGCTCCCTCCCGCATTTAGTGCCCTTGTGAGCATTGTCGCTTTGGAAGTGAGTTCCGCCACGACTTCGTGCAGATGTTGCACGGAGTCTTTGGTGTCGTCCGACAGTCGATCGACTAGGGCCTCCACCTTGTCGATTCGGGATTCAGCTTCTTACGAGCTCTCTACCCCAAGAAGCCTTCTTTGGCTATGGTAAAGTTCCTCCAAGCTCGCTTCAAGAACATCCAAGCGGGTTTCCGCCGCTGTGAGCCTCTCCTTATGGCTCTTTTTCTCGGTTAGTGCTCCAGATTGTGCCTCCTCCGCTCGCGGAGAGTAGCCAACTTCTCGCTCATCATGTTCGCTGCCATGCTCCTCTTGAGCGGCTCCAACAACATGAGAGCGAGTTTGCACTTGCAGCCCACCTGCGGCTGCTTGGGGCAAGGGTCCGGCTTGCCCCGTCTTGCTCGATTTGCCACGATGCTTTGCCATTGCGAGATTGCGAAGTTTCTTCGCTGCTTGCTCGAATTGCTTGCCCGCTCTGATACCATAATGTCACGGACTTAGCTGGAATTGCCGGTCGTGAGGCACCATTGCGGCCAAGTTGCGAACTTTTCTTGAGTTGCCTAAGTCGCGAAGCACCCTTGCGCTAACTTCTTGGACTTAGCTGAGATTGCCTAAGTCGTGACGTGCCCTTGCGTTATACGTCCGCAAAGGGTCAGCTAGTTTGTAACCTCACTCTGGTCCCGAAGGACCTGTAAAAGAGAAAGTTGATTAGTTCGAAAAACGAGCGACAGACAAGTCCCGATGTCTCGTGGAAAGGGGAAGCTTTACAAGCAATTCAGCAAGCACCTTGAGTGCAAGAGAGAAAAGAGAGGAAGGAGAAAACAAGGACTTTAGAAGGTAGAACGAACAGTTGCAAGTCCACAAACAACTGCTCACCGAGTGCCGGGCGTGAAGGCAAGTTCCCATCAAGTTAACGTGTGAACTTGTGAAGATTTTTCAATACCCGACAATATAGCGAAGCCCCATCCAGCCCTATGCCACCCCGGGGGTTCCAGGGTGCTGAGATGGCTGATGTTTTGGGTGCTGCAGGGGTCTGCAGAAAACAGCTCGCGACACGCGAAAACAAAGCCATTTTGGGGTTTTTTGGCCTTGCGCGGTGAGCGGTCGCACTGTAGCACTGCAACCTGTTCGAATTTGCATTTTTACAAGTAAAAGCACACAAAACCAAGGCAAAACAGGTTGCCATGTCTCTGTACAAGCATGCAAAAGCGATGAACTATCACGGACTTAGCTAAAATTGCCTAAGTCGTGAGGCACCCTTGTGGCAAAGACGCGAACTTAGCTTGAGTTGCCTAAGTCGCGACGCACCCTTGTGCCAACTTCTCGAACTTAGCTGGGATTGCCTAAGTCATGAGGCGCCCTTGCGACATATGCGTCCGTAAAGTTTCAGCCTAGTTGCAACCTCGTACAGGTCCCGAAGGACCTGTAAAACAGAAAGTTGATTAGATTGAAAACGAGCGACGGACAAGTCCCGGCATCTCGCGAAGAGGGAAGCTTTACAAGCAATTCAGCAAGCACCTTGAGTGCACAAGAGAAAAGAGAGAAAGGAGGAAAACAAGGACTTTGGAAGGTTGAACGAACAGCTGCAAGTCCACAAACAGCTGCTCACCGGGTGCCGGGCGCGAAGGCAAGTTCTCGTCAAGAAAACGTGTGAACTTGTGAAGAATGATCAACGTTCGACAATATACCGAAGCCCCATCTAGCCCTGTGCCACCCGGTGGGTTCTAGGGTGCTGAGATGGCTGATGTTTTGAGCACTGCAGCGGGCTGCAGAAAACAGCCCGCTGTCACGGACAAACTTCTAAACAAGATGTTTGATGTAATGCTTATGTATGTATGTGTCTTTTGGTATGTTCATGCCTTGTACAACATGTAGAGGGACGACCGAAGGCTTAATGGTTCCATTTTAGTTAGGTTAGTGGCCTCTTTAAGCTTGTAAATAAAGGTTGTGCCGCACGACTTAGGCAAAACCAGTTAAGTCTGTGACAGATGGTATCAGAGCGGGACAAGCACTCATAGAAACACTTAGCATGCAAACGTGGGAGACCTAGCGGGGCTGCGTTGAGAGCAGTCAGCACACGCGCGACCGTTTGGGGGAAAACGGGCATGGAGATGTAGGGAAAAGGAGTCGCTCAGAGGAGCGGGCATCTGACATTGGCATTCAGAGGAATGGCCAACCCTTCGCGCAAGAGGCACCACGAGAACAAACAAGCTTGGAAGAATGAGGAGCGCACAAAGGTTGGGATGGCTGAGTTTGAGCTACGACTCAATGTTGACAACCATACTTGATGAAGCTCAAGGTAAGCGAGGTGAGGGGAATTGCTAGCTCGAAGAATTTGGTACTCATACATGGGCTTGTATGCGGACGATGGAATGTTCGTGGCCATCCCAAGGCGACCGAAACTCGGTGCCATGGAGCATTGAAACTTTTTCTTCGGCATGTGAAGGATACGTCCGTGGGAGGCTGAAGTGTGCAACGAGTTCAGCATGTTGCTAGGCCTTGAGTGGTGCAGCGGGGGTTGTATTGACGTGGAGTCACAATCTAGCAAGTGCATTTGTAGGAGGCAGAACAATGCACAGTTTGTTCAGCAGATCGGAGTAGTCCAAGGGGATGGTGGTCTCCGAAATGAAGAGAGATGTTGCTCAAACGGGATAGTTATCCAGGAGGGATAAGTCCCGGCTCTCCAGAGGGAGGAATATGTGGGATGGACCTCACAGGAAGGACCCAAAACTTCAAAAGTTTACGAGACGATGCTCGTTAAAGCTCCAACAAGCATCCACCCAGTTCAAGCAGCATGAGGCATTTGAGAGACTAGCGCAGTAAGAATGGTCTTTTCCTTCATTTGGAGGATCCGCAGGAACCAACAGGGATCAATATAACTCGGCCAACCCCATACTAGAGTTAGAGTCATTAGCGAGTTGAAGCAGCATGACGGATCAAAGGTTCGACTACTCAAAAAACAGCAGCGGAGAGCAGTTGGGAGCCAAGAGGCGCATTGTAGCTGGAGCAGAAGATTGAAGACTCAGCAAAGGTGAGGAGTTGTAGTGTCGACAAAGGCTTCAACGAGGACGTCGAAGGAATAAGTGGGGGAGAATGTCACGGACAAACTTCTAAACAAGATGTTTGATGTAATGCTTATGTATGTCCGTGTCTTTTGGTATGTTCATGCCTTGTACAGCATGTAGAGGGACGACCGAAGGCTTAATAGTCCCATTTTAGTTAGGTTGGTGGCCTTTTTAGGCTTGTAAATAAAGGTTGTGTCATGTGGACACGTGTGAGAGATTTTCGGTCCGTAATGGACCATTTTACCCTTTGTTGTGCAACTGTTCAGAGCTTGTAAAATCTGTTTGTAATTTGCATTGTCTATGAAGTGTTTTTCAGAGATGTTTGCTTGTGGATCCCGATTGAGGCGTTCTCTCTAACCCGTTCTCTCTTTTGTTGGTCCTAAGGGACAATGGGAGACTTCGGGGAGGCTGACCTTTGCGGACGGACACGCAAGGGTGCCGCACGACTTAGGCAAAACCAGCTAAGTCCGTGACACCGCGGTATGCGAAAACGGAGCCATTTTAGGGCTTTTTGGCCCGGCACGGTGAGCGGTCGCACTGCAGCACTGCAACCTGTTCGAACATGTATTTTTATAAACAAAACACACAAAATCAAGGCAAAACAGGCTGCCATGTCTCTGTTCAAGCATGCAAAAGCGACGAACGGTTCGTTGAACGAAGTTGTTGCGAGTGCGCGACGACCGTTCGTGACAGTGTGTCATCTCTTTATTTGGATTCTGGAGGCCAGTATCATTCAAATGTTGAGAAATATATAATATAAAATGATTAGTTAGTTTTATATGGTCTGGGACAACAGATGCAGGAAAAGATTATAAAGAATTAACTATGGATAGTAAGGATGCAGGACAACAGTGTTTGCCTGATTAGTAAATTTTACACTATGCAGTCAAGCATTCCCTTTGAAATCTCTTTAGTGTCATCTTTGCTTAGTCCTCATTGACAATCTCATTTACATAATCTTAGTCTTGTCTTTGTTGCATTCAACTATAAAAAAATGAATTTGTGAGTTGAATTATACAAAAAAGTCCAAATCTACCATTATTTCTGGACCTAGGAGTCCAATTTGCTTTCTTCATAGAAAGAAACCAAAAAAGTTGCCTGCTTTTAGTAGTGTTTTGGTAAAAACCTCTTACAGATCAAGGTAGAAGCCAAGTTTTGACTACTTCTGTTGTTGGATGGTGGTTCTGATTTGTCACTTAAGCTGATTCGGTAGTGAGATGTTTCATGGATTTGTCTTACCAACAAATTGTTAGTAAATGTCTACATAAAATTGCAACATTTTTGTGCTCTTTCTTCAAATCCCATTACGACATGATATTTTCTGCTAAATGTAAGCTGTGGCTAATAGTTGATGGTCGTACAGGTCTTCCCCTTGCTTATAGACAAGTATTCATTTAAAGAACAGGCTGATCTGGTCTGGGAGTTTTTGTGTAGCATCCCTGTGGATATGATGATGAAGTTCCTTCCCTGGCTTTCATTTTCTATTTCGTCCGATGAACACCAGGATATGATCAACTGTTTAAGCAAGATATTACCAAAGGAAAAGCTTCTTAAGCAGGTAATGTTTCTCTTCATGCAGGATTCCTTTGTCTTTAAATCAAGATTCATTCAACTAAAGCTTCTTTTATATTATATTAATATATATATATATATATATTATTTGTAATTACAGGTCATATTCACTTGGATACAAGACAAAGGTATGGCCAACATTGGGCAAAGTCATGTTGATGATTTTCTATCGCAGAGTTCTGCACCTGGCAGGTCTATTGTTCACACTGAGAAGTATGCCTGTGTTTCTGATCTTTCCATGACTGGGAAGAGAAAACACAAAGAATCGGACAGCGAAGGTTTTGATCTTGGGTTGTATCCAATAGATGAGATATTGCATTGGCATAATGCTATTAGAAAAGAATTGAATGATATAGCAGAAAGTGCAAGAAAAATACAACTTTCTGGAGATTTTTTGGATTTGACTGCCTTTAACACAAGGCTTCAATTCATTGCCGATATATGCATCTTTCATAGGTAAGAAAATTCTTTTAAGACTTTTTGTTGAATAGTAGCAGAGAAAATTCATTTGAATTTTGGTTAAGACCTGTTGCTTGGATTTTAATTAGCTGCCTGAGCATTTTTGATATAGTTATAGAACAAAATTTAAACATTAACCATTCCAAGGAAGCGGACTGTGATTTATAGAAAGTCTGAATATATCATAATTTTCATATAACAAGTTGGATCAATGCTTTCACAATAAGAACAGGAACTGCATTTGAGATGATGAGTTACAAAATGAGACAACAGTGATCTAGGAATTCTACATACGTTTACCGTGATTCTTTGACTTAGTGCCTTGTATCTATTGACGAGTAGTCATTTTTGCACATGCAGTTATGCTGAGGACCAGGTAATATTTCCGGCAGTATTGGATGGAACGGAATCCCTTTTGCAGGAGCATGCAAATGAAAAAATTCAGTTCAACAAGTTTAGGTGCTTAATTGAAGAAATCCAGAGTGCAGCGGCCACTTCTACTTCTGTAGAATTCTATTCTGAGTTGCAGTCACATGCTGATCAAATAATGGATACTATTCAGAAACATTTCCAAAGTGAGGAAGCTGAGGTAGGCTGATACTGACAACATGAACATTGTGGTTGTCTTTTATGAGTGTCTGAGAATATGTATTATTGTTCTCTTTAGGTTCTTCCTCTTGTCAGGATGCATTTTTCTCCTGAGAAGCAGCGGAAGCTGCTTTTTAGAGGTTTGTGTGTTATGCCCTTGAAATTGTTAGAGCGTGTTCTGCCATGGTTTGTTGCAAACTTAAGCGACAAGGAGGCAAATTCATTTCTCCAGAATATGCATCTAGCAGGTTGGGTTATTCTCGTGTGTATCTGTACTCGTACTTTTTGCTGCATTTTACTGCACTCTTTGAAGGCCATATAAAATTTATGTTTTATGACACAGCCTCGCCATCTGAAGATGGACTTGTCACACTTTTCTCTGGTTGGGCATGCAAGGGTAGGAGCAATGCTATTACCAGTTCTGGCAAGTTCATATGCTTCACTTCAAAAGCATTCAGCTGCTTTCCTTCAGAAGACAATACTGAATCAGAAGAAGATTGCAGTAAAGATTTCTGTGCATATGCTAGTCTAGTTGGTTATAAGAAAGACATAGAAGTTCTGGAAGGTGAGAACATTGCTAGGCCTGTTAAACGAAGCAACTTCACAGAATCATATGGAAATTCTGGCAAGAATAATAGTCTAGAAAGTGATGAATTTGAAGGCATGTCAACTAGCCAAAAGCCCTGCTGTGTGCCAGGGCTAGCAGTCGCTAACAGTTACACTGGATTAAGCTCACCTGAGGCATCGAAGTCCTTGCTTTTCTCATATTACAATCCGTCTGTTCCTTACTTAAAATCCAGTCTCTTTATTTCAGAGATGGAATTGAATTCATATAGTAGAGAGACCACTTTGAGGCCAATCGACAACATATTTAAATTTCATAAGGCCATAAGCAAAGATGTGAAGTATTTGGATGATGAATCAGGAAACCTTATACCTTATGATGAAATCGTTCTTCGGCAGTTTAGTGGAAGATTTCGCTTATTGTGGGGTCTATATAGAGCTCATAGTAATGCTGAGGATGACATTGTTTTCCCGGCTTTAGAATCAAGAGAAACTCTTCATAACGTGAGTCATTCATACACCCTTGACCACAAACAGGAAGAAAAGCTATTTAACGATATTTCAGAAGTACTTGCTGAGCTTTCACAAATGCATGATAGCTTGGGAACGAAAAACAATAAAGATGTTGCAAGTGGAAGTAAGTCCTGCTCTTCTCTTCATGTAATTGATCGGACAAAAAAGTATAATGAGCTTGTGACCAAGCTTCAAGGAATGTGCAAATCTCTACGAGTTACTCTTGATAATCATGTCTTCAGAGAAGAGCTTGAATTATGGCCATTGTTTGACAAACATTTTTCAGTGGATGAGCAAGATAAGATTGTTGGACGAATAATAGGAACAACAGGTGCAGAGGTCCTCCAATCAATGTTACCATGGGTAACTTCTGCTCTCAGTCAAGAGGAACAGAATAAGATGATGGATACATGGAAGCAGGCAACCAAGAATACCATGTTTAATGATTGGCTAAATGAGTGGTGGAAGGACACTTCCTCATTTTCTACAGATGCAACAGGGAGTTCTAGTTTTCAGAAAGGTCTTTTATTTAATCATATCTTTTGCTATTTGTACTTTCTATGGTTCTTAATGTTGTGGAAATTATGCCCCTAGGCCTATGCTGATTTTGTCCCCATATAAATGATTTATTGTTGCATCCACTTAGGGGTTGATTACGAAGAAAGTATCGAGCAAAGTGACCAGATGTTCAAACCTGGTTGGAAAGATATATTTAGGATGAACCAGAATGAGCTGGAATCAGAGATACGAAAGGTTTCACGAGACTTGACGCTTGATCCACGAAGAAAGGCTTATCTTATACAAAACTTAATGACAAGGTTTGTGTTTTTTGAGCTACTTATCATGCTAATGTCGGTACATTTAAGTCAGCAACTTCTGGTTGGACATTGCAGTCGTTGGATAGCTGCTCAGCAGAAACTACCTCAGGACAGAACTAAGGAAGCTTTGGATGGAGAAGATGTACCTGGATGCTCTCCATCCTTTCGGGATCCAGAGAAACAAATCTTTGGCTGCGAGCATTACAAGAGGAACTGCAAACTCCTCGCTGCATGTTGTAACAAGTTGTTCACGTGCAGATTTTGCCATGACAAAGTCAGTGATCATTCAATGGACAGGTATCATCTTTAATTATGCTAAAAAGATTTTTCCATGTATAATTTGTCATGAAACTGTGCTTGGCTCTAGTTCCATCATTCCATGTTAATTATTTGTTAATTTGTTTGTAGAAATTTATATAACCAAATTGATTTGCTAAAAATGTTGATACAATGGATTTTGTGCAAGCCTTCATTAAGGCTAAGTTCTTATGTACATTTTATTATTGCATGGAGCACCTAAGATTCCCCATAGAAAAATCACTTCTCAGTTCTCACACATCACAGTTCTCGAGAATCTCTCACCACGTCAGCCCCTCACACACTGCCCATCACCGCCCGTCCATCGCTGCCTGTCGCCATCCTCATCCACGGTTACCTGGTACATCTTCTCCTTTCCTCCTTCAGCTCCTCCTCCACGTCCTCTTCTCCTCCTTACCTTCCTTTTTCTTCCTTCTTTCATCTTCTTCTTCCTTCTACCTCTACCCTGCTCCCTCCCTCAAACCAGCAAATGGTACTGCAGTATATGCCGCCATACCATTTGATGGTACCAGCATGGAGTGGATCTGTATCGGTCCGACAATGGACCGGCCTATATTGGTCTAATACCCAAAATTGAATTCCTTGCATATCAATGTATGCCATACAATTTTGGTTCATGTTCACACATTAGCACTGTGCAACCCTTTGCCGTGCTTCTATATTTACTTGTATGATATATAATATGTTATAGTCAGTACTTGGCAGTATGGCTAGTTCTATTTTTGAAAACATTGGCACCAATGATTTAAATCTCATTTTGATAACTGTTTCAATAATAACCTATTGAACTAGCAATACATTGGTTTGACCATCTGATTTCATTGAATAAAATAACAAATAAAACATAGAAGAATGATTTTGTTCCAATATCAAGCTATATGTTTCGATGCTGATACTTGTTGGAATGGTAAAAACTAGATGTATGATCGAAATTTGAAACCTTGTTTGGTCCTATCTCTATTGGCTGTTGGTTCATCTTCGCTCATGATGATTGTTACAATTGGATTGTATGTGGATCGAGGGTTGTGTTTTGTTCCATATAGGACATTGTCCACTTGGGCTCTCCAGCTTGCACCAATCAACATGTGGGCCACAAGGTTGTCTTTAGAAACTGTGCCCTATGCCAGAAGGTTGAAACTTGCTTAAGAGCCATATACATCCTTGACTTATTTTTTATGTGCGATCTTTAGACCCCTATGTATGCCATGCTAGATCATGTTTGACTTTTTAAGTGTGTGTAGCTGTTTGTAGTGGCTGATAAAACCTTTTGCTTTATGGTGTCCCGGGCATTTTTCAACTAGTAAAAGGGTGTGTGTGTGTATATACATATGTATATGTATATATATGTTGTTAGGACTCTAGCTAGGAGAGTCCTAATTGAATTTTATTGAAAGGGGCATTCATGTAAAACCTACCTAGCCGACCCTTATTAAAGAGATGAAGAGACTGGCTAGGGTTAGGGTTAGTTGGGAGGTTGCTTCTTAGAGTAGGAGTCTTATTAGGAGTTGGTTAGAAGTAGGAGTCTTGAGTATGAGTCCTATTAGGAGTTGGGGTTTAGAAGCCTTACATGTATTCATCATCTTTTCATAAGTAATAGATGAATTTTTTTAGCAACCTTTGAGCAGCAACTTGGAGGAGGGAATCCCTATAGAGTTCCAAGAAGGCCGATCCCCTAAAGAGATCAACCCCAAGCTTAGAATCCGCTAGGAACATATATATGTATATGTATATGTATATGTATGTGAATTTATATATATATATGTATATATATATACATATATATGTATATATACATGTATACATACATATATATAATTTATATACATGTATACATACATATATATAATTTATATACATGTATATATACATATATATGTGTGTGTGTATATATATGCAAGGATTTTTGTTGAAGTTTTCAAATGGTGGAATGCACATCCTGTTATGGTGTTGGTATTTGGAGGACTAACAGTTTTGGATTCCTTAGCTATAACGTTGACATTGCAATGTATTATAATGCCAAAATTTGGTTCTTTATTGATCATCCTTTCTTGTCCTTCGCAGAAAAGCAACAACTGAAATGATGTGTATGCGTTGTTTGAAAGTTCAACCAGTTGGCACATGTTGCAAGACACCTTCCTGTGATGGATTCTTGATGGCAAAGTACTATTGCAATATCTGCAAATTTTTTGATGATGAGAGGTTGATGCTCAATACTGTACTCTTAGTAGCATAATTTGGTATCAGGAAAAGTAAATGCCCCATATTTTATTTTTTCTTTACTATTCCTTGGTTGAATTTCTATAAGTTCTATTTGACTTCTTATGCCTATTGCTGAAGAATCATTTATTATTTTTTGCATCCATCTTGAGCATATAGACATTTTATCTATGCATATATAAAAAAATAATCTTTTAGGTGAATGTATTAATTCAGATACTAAACCACTGCATAGCAACATTTTGCTGTATGATTTGAACTTTAAAGTTCCTCAGAGAGAAACAGAAACGTCCTATACACAACTAAGGGATCAAATACTGATTTACTGGTCTGACCTAGGTCGGTACCAGACCAGACCATATAGGTTGCTAGTCAGCAATTGATTTTTATTATACCTAGTAGTACAGATCAGTACACTGCTTAATATACTGATATCATATGGGTCCAAATGGTCGCAGAAACCAGTATTAGACTGAGATTTAAATCCCTGTTGACTACTGTGTATTTCTGGCAGAAATTGATCTCTCTCTCTCTCTCTCTCTCTCTTTGCAGAACTATGTTTCCTAGATTGACTGTGTATTGATAAAATACCAATTTGTAGATGCTATTAAGTGACTTCTGCTAGAACAAACCTGAAACATGATGCTGGTACAATTTTGATCTTGCTGCAATAATTTCCTTCACAATTCTCAATGTGAAAACCCCAGCATCACTCGTCACCTATTAACATATAGCATAATCTGTTGATTCAGCCAAACATGAAAATAACATTCACATATATTAAAGATTTGAAAACCAAATTTTATAATAAACAAATGCATATGTTTCAAGTAGCTAATGCTGTAATTTCTGTATTTCAGAAGCGTCTACCACTGCCCGTTTTGTAACCTGTGTCGTGTTGGAAAAGGGCTTGGCACAGATTTTTTTCATTGTATGACTTGCAATTGTTGCTTGGGAATGAAATTGAAGGAGCATGAATGCCGGGAGAAAGGTCTAGAGACAAACTGTCCGATTTGTTGTGATTTTCTGTTTACATCAAGTGCAGCTGTAAGAGCTCTACCCTGTGGACATTTCATGCATTCAGCATGCTTCCAAGTATGTTCGTATTCCTGTCATTTTTTTCTTTTGAGGATTTTTATTAGCTATGTTGTTGTCTTGCATGTCTTTGATTCAGGAACTTGATTGATAACCAGCAATTTTCTCGTTATTTTTGTCTAGGCGTACACCTGCAGCCATTACACCTGTCCGATTTGTAGCAAATCCTTGGGAGACATGGCTGTAAGATAACATCATGTTTTCCATGATTGAGCAAAGTTCTATTGCATTTGCATTATAGGTCTTTTTGAGGGTTTCATTGTGAATTATAAGTATGTTCATGAAAAAAAGAAGAGTGAACTAAAAGCTGGATATGATCCTTTGATGATTCATAATGCCTTTAATTTCACATCACTGTAATAGAATTAATGGCGAATTTGGTTTCTGGTTGTGAGATGTGTGTGCATGAGCACAGCATGCATTTGAATCAACTTGTATGCATGCCATCATTGTTACCCTTTTTGTGTTGTCAGATGCTATAATAAAAATGATTTATTGTCAGATAGCATTAATTTCTTTCTTTTACAACATATAACATTCTCTAGAAGTTTCATTCTCTAATGTTTTTATTCAATTGTGAAGCTAAATTCATAGCTAATTCAGCTGGAGTTCTGGAATCTTTAAGTTATTTGTTGCATGTCAATATATGAGTCCTTATTTTAAATAAGATAATCGCCATGCCAGAGTAACACTATATTTTTGTCTGCTTCCAAGTAATCAAATGTTCTGCCCAATAAAAAAATGTGTTGACAATTAGATGGTAAGATGTGACAGTTAAGAATTCTATACATTGCTTCATTCTAACCTTGAATCCCTGACTTCAATGTAGACCCTGAAAATTTCCATGTAATTTTTCTATATGACCATTGAATCCTCCTAAATGCAAAAGTTCATCACTTACTAGCATTTTTCTAATGATAATTTCCACACTTTTCCAGAATTCCTATTTGATTTCATCATCTAAACTGGCACCTATAACATTATCAATTTCTCTAGCATTCTGTTACTGACTCATTCAGCCTTTCCAACATGAGTTGTGTAACTGATTCCATTTCAGATCAACCACAATCTTGAAAATTTGTCTTTTTACTGATCATCAAAATCCAACATTTTGCCAAGGGAATTACACCTATTCCCTGGTTCCTTGGGAATCTCTTGGGGGACTTTTTGTCTCTAGTTGATGCTCTTGAGGTTGTTAATCTCTCCCATATTCCTAGAGATCTCAATTTTGTAGCACATAAACTTGCTAGTGATCACACACATTTCCCTTCTTCTGGAATATTGCTAATTCTTGCAATTTTATTCTGACGCTGTAATCTAATACTATGTTCTCTTTTCCTTTCAAAAAAAGAATCAATGACTAATCCCAAGTTGATTATAGCAGCCTGAATGAATATCATCTTAATTTCAATTGATCCTGGCTGATTCAATCATGGCCGATTTTTATTTGATTTCTAGTTGTTTGAAATAAACCCATCCTACAATTGGTTTGAACGATCTAGCTGATTTGAACCTGCCTTCATCCTAAATCCCACAAACAATCTTGGGTCCAATCAGGATCTGCAATTATTGCTGCAATATTTTCTACAACAATGCCCACCCTACTCCCGCAATTTTCTTCTTGTATATCAAGGTTTATATACTTTTAGTTTCTTAAATTTTCACCCATTTGGTATGTAAGCATTTTATGCTTATCCTCTTTCTGATTGTTGTATCAACTAATTCTAACACACTTCCTAAAGGTGTTCTGATATTGTGATATTGCATCTTTACCTGCAGTATCAACTAGTTCAAAACAGTGCAAGAATGGTTGCTCATTTTTCACTGCATCTGAGTAACATTCTAATTGCTTCTTTGTTCTACAAAGCATGTGGTCTTAAATATGCTCTTCATCATTTCAAAGCGACAACTTAGCCCCAAATCATCTGGTAGATTGGTAGAGATTCACGTTTCATATGTGATAAATCAAAATTTAGCTAAGCAAATACGACATTCCTCTTCCATTTGGGGCCATTTGATGTAAAGGATTTAGTAGCATGCAACCATAGGCAGAGTTCTATCAGGTCATATGCGTAATAACTACATAAGGACACAGCTGAACCTCCTATTAGTTCTATCAGGTCATATGACATGAGGACACAGCTGAACCTCCTATTACAAGTGCTTAACATGACAGTTGAAACTACACAAATGTTTGCTAGGGCATGCTTGACGACATATTATTCTGCATTATTCTTCATTTATTCTAACTAGAAGTACTTGTGTACTTGTTCAGGTGTACTTTGGCATGCTTGATGCCTTGTTGGCTGCTGAACAACTTCCTGAAGAGTACCGGGATCGATGTCAGGTAACAAAAGACTATCTTTACTCGCCTTGCATGATACTAAACTAATTACTTACTCTATGATAATTCCAGGATATCCTATGTAATGACTGTGGCAAAAAGGGCAAATCTCGCTTCCACTGGCTTTACCACAAATGTAATTCTTGTGGTTCATACAATACAAGGGTGATTAAGATTGACAGTTGCTCTACATCAAATTAATGAAGTAATCACTTGTTTATTCAATGTTTTGTTTTCGGTGTGTGTAAATATACAATTAGTAGCAATTTTTACATCTGTGCTGTAGTTCTCATAGTTCATAGCCTACCAATTTCGCAACAAACATAGAAAATCACAATTATTTGCATTAGTAAGTGCTTCCTTGCTTCCTATGGTTTGTACAAGGAAAATTTCTTTTCCCTGTAACCTCAAAAGACAGAACAGGTTGGATGTGCTTCGTTCCACTGTGTCAAGTTCGGTCAACAAAAAAGTTAAGCTAAATGTTGTTACTTATTTATGTTACGTTATGTTATCATTGCAAGTAGCAATCTCAGACATTTCAATTCACAGTTTCATCTGGTAACTTTTGTAGCTAAGAACTTTCAATTTATTTTTGAATTCCTGCAATTATTATCTGGTATTTTGTATTCTCCTCTTTAGTTTGTGCTATGGAGAACTAGTGCCCTCTTGGTGTTGGTGTTCTAACTTTGTCATGAACGGTGGATGTTCCTCTGATTAAGCCCTTTGCAAGGCCGGAAAGCTGATGTTGAAAGAAAAAAAAATGATGTTGAAAGATTCAAAATTCCAAATAATACCTGGACTCAAGATTTCAAATAATACTTGTACACATTGATCAGCAGTCCTATCAAGAATTGATACTGGGCCATATAGATTAGTATGAGTCAATTATATTATTATATTTGGTGATATTGAATGATACAGGTTGACATACCCAGTATATCAGTACCTTCGAAGCAGATGGAGATTTGAGAAAACCTTGCACAGATTATTTTATGTTTTATTCTCCTGGTGACATTTTATGCATTGAAGCTTTCATCTCTGTATATGCTTTACAATTGGCTTTTCACAAGAGAACTCCACAAGTAGTTGCAATGCCAGTAGGTGGTAAACAGATATGCAATGCATTTACTCCAGAGTTTACACAAGAATTCCTTGATGGTTTGCTGAAATTGATATCTTCATTTGCCATATTCAATAAAATTAGTCTATGATTTTTATGTTCATGCAATAGAAAATGTAGGCAAAAGTTGTTTGTAGCACAAGACAAATGATTGGTGATTGATGAAAAAAATTGATCACACTTACAATTACTTCTATATTTTCCTGATGCATGGGTTGACACAACTTGAAGTCTTCATGTACCATTTTCAAGAAATATATTGCTTTTCTTCTCTTTTCTCTAAAATTATCGCTGTTTTATAGTTGCCAATTTATGTTTCTATTTTCTCCTCTTCCGCCTATTTTGAATTTTCTTGTTTCTATTAACTTGATATCACAATTACAATGCAGAACTCACCAAAACCCCATGTCACTGGCAATGCCGAAAGCTTGAGTCATATTTTGTCCTCTTTTCGTACATGGAGAAGAGTTAGCCCACTAGAGCTATCTAATCTGTTAACACCATCTCTCTCTTTCTCTCTCTCATCAGACATGCAGCTTTATGGAGGACTCAACCATGGGAGGGGATTCCATAGAGCTGCCATCAAGAAACAGTCGCCACCATCGTAATCGTGATCATGATCATGATCAAGGAGGCATGCATGATGATGACCCAGAGGACTAGGGATGTTGTGGCAGGTTGTCCGGCGTTAGCACAGCATGAGTTCGTCATCAGCTGATGGCTCACCTCCCACAGTTCATCCTCGTGCCTTAACACAGTGCAGGGACTTCCATCATATGTTCATGTGATACCACCACTTGAGTTGGCATTACCACCATCTTAGGGTAATGTAGGAACATGTGTTTGGCCAGTAAGAATCCAAATCTAGCCCAAATTCAAGCTCAATATTGTAAGTTATCGTAGCAAGTGGCCTCTATCTCAACTTAATTCGGTTGAGAACAACTTCAATAAGATCTTGATATAACAACGACTCTTTCGATAAATCATCAAAACTTTTGGCATTCCATCAAATCTTCTGGTATATCATCCTATCTTCCGATATGATGTTTGATTTTTAGTATGTCGATTAATCTTCCAACTTAATGTCTAATTGCTTAATGATCTTTTAGACATAATGATCAAGTTTTTGGCTCGATATTTGATCTTATAACAATCTAAATCCTTAGTTAAAGTATTTTCTTCAACAGTTATCTCAACATCCTCAAATTCATTAATTAATCTCATCATTAAAATTTAAGATTCAACATATATAAAGCCTAAAATTGATAATAAGATTATCATTTTATGAATGAATTAGAGTTTCAGTTCTCACATTGTGTGTGGTATGAGGCAATGATTTTCCTCCCAATATAAGTTGGAGGACTTAAAGTGAAGTCCAAGATGCATTACTCTTATCTTCTTCACCTCTCCTCTCCCGACAAGTCTATCATTTACATTCCTATTCAAACCTAGTCATTTTGAAGTCAACTTGCAATCAAGATTCAATGTTCTAACTTGTCAACAAAGCAAATTAGCCTGAAGAAGGATTCAAAGCAAATTGTTAAAAACTGAATTAGCAAAACTTTTTTTTATTACAAGAACTGAACTTTTGTGAATTGAATTTAATGGGATAATGACACATTAATTCTAATGTTAGTCATATATGTTCTATTGTGATGACAAGATTATGATCTTAACAAATGATAAATGACCAAGGTAAGATGATAAAATTTTAATAACTACGATCTTAACAAATGATTAAGATAATAATGATCCGTGCAATAATTTAAAACCCTAAAAAGTAAATCAACTTTGACTTTTTGGCTCATCTTTTCTAAATTGTTACATGAAATCATATCTCAAAATTTTCATTATAGTGATGTTATGGCATGCAATATGATTCTAACATGTGATCTGCTAGTTACATGTGCCTTATACGTCAATCATGTGTGTGATGAAACTTGTGTTCCGTTGTATAATATGTTTTGGTTAATATTAATATTGACTTTTTTTTATTCTATATTGTATGATGAATATATATTGTGATGCTTTTGAATATATGCTATGAGAATTATATTATGATGAGATCATGATAATAAAACTAGTTCTCTTTAAACATAAATCCTAAATATTCCTGGTCATAGGTTATTCAAGAAAGACATTGAGAAAACCAGATAGACCGATATACTATATATTTGTCCATATGATTGAGGTAGCTGGTCTGATAGTTGCTTGTGTGGGGACATTAGGGATATAGTGCAAGTGCTCATTGGAGAATGAGTTTACTAAATAATTTACTTATGAAATGCTAGATGGTTAATGATATCACATATATTAGCACCGAAATTGACATTGAGAGGGGAGGATGAATTAGTGCTTCAATAAAAACCTCAATGATTCGAAAACTTTTGTTCGATGAAAAACCGTATCGGAAATGTTGAAGGTGTGCTTGACTTAGAATAAGTGCAATAAGTAATTAAAGCAATATCAATGACAATGAAAAGCAAAACAGAAATGCAAATCGAATTTTATAATGGTTTGATCGTCGTGACCTATGTCCACTCCCGATTCCTCCTTCGTTGAGGCCACCAGTATCCACTAATGGTCTTCCTTCAATGGGCGAAGACCAACTACTCTCTAGGTGGTACCATCGCCTGCCAGTCTGACACTAGGCGGTACCACTGCCTAGTTTGATGATACTATCACCTAACACACTGACATTGGGCGGTACCATTGCCCAGTCTGGCGGTACCACCGCCTGACATAGTTTGGAAGACTGTGTTTGGGTGGTACCACCGCCTGACCTTGTTACAAGACATTGAATGGACCAAACAATAGGCCAAATTGGCCCCTAATTGAGTTGACATTATTTCACCCCAATACCGACTCAATTAGACCTAAACTAACTCAATCTAGATAAATTATTACAAAGCACAAATCATATGTTGTCCGACATGTCATTGGTTCTTCCAGCACTTCGTTTGATCCTTCGGCGCATCGTTCTCTCCTTTAGTGTATTGACCAATCTGTTGAATCTCAAATTTAGATGATGAAACTAATTAATAGTGTTTATGATTTGATCTATATTTTGAGTGATGCATGAAGCTTCAATCAAGGAAAGACAATTAAAAGTAGGAAGAATCATGTTGGACCGGAGTAGAATATGTTAGAAGATTGGATGTCGAGCCGAAGGATCGATCGAGGTATTGGCAGAATGCTTCGGGCCATGAGTTCGGGCATCAAGCCAAGAAGAGCAGAAATTACACTAAGGATATCAGAGTTGTAGAGGTCAACTGGTTAATTGGGCAATAGGCCGCAAGAGAGGATGATGCGCCGAAGATTCAGACGAAGCATCGATGAACCAATGACATGCCAGACAACATTTGATTTGCTTTATAATAATTGTCTATATCAAAGTAGGTTTTAAGTGTACAAGATTAACTATGATAGCGATCAAGGCATAAAGCAAAATGAAGTCCCGAAGTCAAGAACAAAATTTCGTTTGGAGTTCGAGAGTTTATCGGAAGTCCAGACGTTCATCGAAAGTTCTGCCAGAAATGATCAAGAAGTCCAAGAGCTTGCCTAAGAAGCTCATTGGAACTCACCAAGAAGATCATCATGAAGTCCAGGAGCTTGCTAGGAGTCCGCTGGAACATTATCGAGAGATTGTCGGAAGTTTGTCGGAAGATCGCCGAAAGCTCACTAGAAGAAACCTAGACTTGTCAAACTTATTTAAGCTTAGTGTATGCCTTAAAATTCGTAATAAGCACATAATTGTATTGGAATTGGGCTAACTCAATTAGGAGCTAATTGGGCCTAAGTTTGGGCTGTATTAGGCCAAGTGAAAAGGCCCAAATAGTGACCCAACAAGTTAAACCATCGTGGCACAGTCTCCGAGACTGTGTCAGGTGGTGGTACCGTCGATCTAGGTAGTGGTACTGCCCAGACATAGTCTTCGAGCGACTGTCAGGCGATGGTATTGCCAGACTCAGCGGTGGTACCGCCTAGTGGTAGGGTGTCAAGCAGTGGTACCATAAGACTGGGCGGTGGTAACGCTAGGACTTGGGAAACCCGAGATGAGACCTTTTTAGGCTCCAAGTTTGAATTCAATTTAGGCCTATAAATACTCCTCTCATCCTTGGTTAACAAATACAAGATTTGAGAGCAAAAAAGTAGAAAAACGCTGTTGTAATCTTATGAGAACTCCTCTTAAGCTCTAAGTGTTAGTGTGGTCTAAGAGAGGAGTAAGTGGGGGTGTAAAGGTTCTCTCCTGAACTTGTCAAAAAGAGAATCAAATTGTAAGGGTAGTTGAAGGAAGATCGTTAGTGGATGCCAATGGCCTCGACGGAAGGGGAATCGACGGAGTGGATGTAGGTCACGATGATCGAACCACTATAACTCGGTTTGTATTTGTGTTCTCATAATTTATCTTTACTGCAA